GTGTTCTCTCCGGGGAGTTTCCTCCCTTCCTCAGCACGTGCACACTTGTCGGCCAGGGCGTAGAGCTCACTGACGTCTCTAATCTTGCACATCGCCATCTCCTCCCGCATCCTGCGGTTTCGCATGTTCTGATGGAACGCGCTGATGACCGCGAAGGGTGGACATCTGGGATGTTGCACTGCACTTGGCTGAAATCTTTGAATATACTTGCGCAGGGGCTCTCCTTCCTTTTGGGCGAGCAGATGCAGATCACTCTCTTGGCCATGAGGCTTGTGGCCGCCTGTAAAGGCGCCGACAAACTGATGGCACAGATCCGCCCATGAGGATATGGAGTTGTCCGGCAAGTGCATGAGCCAGGATCTGACATTAGGCTTGAGTACCAGTGGGAAGTAGTTGGCAAGGATCTTGTCGTCTCGTCGCCCGGCAGCTTGCACCGTGATGGTGTAGATGCTGAGGAACTCCGACGGATGCAACCTGCCGTCGTACTTCTCTGGTACATCTTGCTTGAAGTTCTTCGTACTGGGCCACTGGACTTGCCGCAGCTCACGAGTGAATGCAGGGCAACCTACCGCGTACGGCAAGTCGCCTGGTTCCCCTGGCGCATGCATGTCGATAGTGGGCCCAGCGCGCTGGTCTGATTGACGTCGCGCTTCTCTTCGACGCTCGATGCGTGTACGAGCTTCTTCTTGCTGTCGCTCTTGAAGAACATGGTGCTGATCGCGACGAGCTCGAGGATCTGATGACACTGTGGAGTCGGTGTCGAGGTTGACCCGGCGAGTCGGTGATCTTGGCCTTCGGGGCGGGGAGTGCACGGTGGTTGCACCTCCACTGGTCTTGTCGTCGTCGGCTCGCGTCCGGCAATCTTGCCGTGCATGCGACACATTCGGCTGCTGTGGAGTGTCGCCGTTGGCGAAGCCGATGAGACTCTGGATGGTGGCCCTCCAATCGTCGATCTTGTCCGCCTTTGGAGGGTAATCCAGGAGCAGTTGGGCTCGAGCCAACGCTTCTTCTGGAGTCTTTGGTGGCGGTGGTGAACGGTGCGAGGAGCGGGATATGCTCGGACTTCTAACTATGTTAGAAGGAGCAGGATCCCGTCCAGGCGACCGTGTCTTGCTTGTGCCAGCAGGGTGGCGTGCATGCTGGTCTTGAGCATCTCGAGATCCACCAGCTCGACCTTGGTCCAACGAGCGTATGGTGCTGCGAGTACCATGACGCTGCCGGTCTCGCGCCTCCTGAGATGGGCGCGGTGCGTGTACGGACGCCGAGGTTTGCGCGGCCTTGTCCTTGGACCTAGCGGCAGCGTGAGCTCCCTTGTCGACGCCCGTTCCTCCGCCGGCGTCTACCCCACCACCCATTTGCTCCGGTGGAGGTGGGATCGACACGGACGGAGCAGCCACCTCCGAAGCCTTCTTCTTCGGTGGCATGTCGATGAAGATGATGAAGAAGATGAAGATCTGGCTCGCGTGAACGCCGGATCGGGTTCACACAACCTCGACGCCCCCTACCTGGTGCGCCAAAGATGTCGTGGGAAACGAACACCTATGGGACCGGTGTCCCTTTCGGTCCGGCGAGGGGCGGAGATCGCACGAAGAGAGGATCGAGGTGGAGCACGCGAGCGATTTTACCTAGCTTCGGAGCTCTCCGGAGAGATAATACTCCTACTGCTGCTTTGTGGTTGTATTATGTTCTTTCTCGAGAGCGTGGGAGTGTTCTGGTTTCGAATGAGTCGAACCCCTTGTACGTTGCGCATGGGCCTCCTTTTATATGCTAAAGGGGTCACCGACAGGTGGCAACGCAGGAAAGGGTACAAATGTAAAAAGAGTGGTTGGTATAGCTACCTCTACAGTGCATCCTACCTAACTCTGATGGTAGGGGACAAGGGCATTTAATGCCTGTCCGCGTTCGCCATGATGGCCATCTTGTCATCTCCGCTCGCCACCTCGCACCGCTTGGCTGCACAGCCTCTCGCCACATGCGCCTGGAACGGTCCTGTGGCGACACGTCGACGGATGCGCTGGAGCATGGGCACAGAGTGGTGGCTTCGCCGCGGCAAGCGCCTTGCCGCGGTCGTTGTCTTGTTGCACCCGGAAGCTTGTCGCTCGCCGGGTCTTGCCGAGACGCGCGGCGTGTCGCGGCAAGTTCCTTGAAATGCCTTGGTTGGCCTTCCCGGCAAGCTCCTCTTGCCGGGGCCTTGACCTTCCCGGCAAGCTCCTCTTGCCGGGGCCTTGTCTTCTCAGTTAAAACACTGCATAGGTTCCCAAGTGTCACGAAACCCGCAAGTTGATCACCAAAACATACATCAAGTGGCACATGATATCCCATTGTCACCATAGATAATCACGGCAAGACATACATCAAGTGTTCTCATAAAGACTCAATCCGATAAGAAAACTTCAAAGGGGAAACTCAATTCATCACAAGAGAGTAGAGGGGTAGAAACATCATAAGATCCAACTACAATAGCAAAGCTCGGGATACATCAAGATTGTGCCATAGAGGAACACGAGAGAGAACACGAGAGAGAGAGAGAGAGAGAGAGAGAGATCAAACACATAGTTACTGGTACATATATACCCTCAGCCCCGAGGGTGAACTACTCCCTCCTCGTCATGGATAGCGCCGGGATGATGAACATGGCCTCCGGTGATGGGATCCCCCTTCGGCAGGGTGCCGGAACAGGGTCCCGATTGGTTTTTGGTGGCTACAGAGGCTTGCGGCGGTGGAACTCCCAATCTATTTTCTATTCTGGAAGTTTTACGATACGTAGGTATATATGGGTGCAGGGGGTACGTCGGTGGAGCTACGGGGGCCCCACGAGGTAGGGGGCACGCCCGGGGGGGGGGGGGCCACCCTCGTGAGCACCTCCCGTATCTCCTGACGTGCACTCCAAGTCCATCGGGTGGCTTTCCTTCCAAAAATAACTTCTCCAGTTGATTTCGTTCCGTTTTGACTTCGTCTGATATTCCTTTTCCTCGAAACACTGAAATAGGCATAAAACAACAAATCTAGGCTGGGCCTCCGGTTAATAGGTTAGTCCCCAAAATAATATAAAAGTGGATAATAAAGGCCAATATTGCCTAAAACAGTAGATAAAGTAGCATGGAGCAATCAAAAATTATAGATACGTTGGAGACGTATTAGGCCTCGACGACAACACTCTTTTAACCCGGTAAATTTGGGTGGCCTCGACGCTTCTAGGGTTTGGGGTGGCCTCGACGACAACGCTCTTTTAACTCGGTAAATTTTGGTGGCCTCGACGCTTCTAGGGTTTGGGGTGGCCTCGACAACGCTTCTAGGGTTTGGGGTGGCCACGACGCTTCTAGGGTTTGGTCAGGCGAGAGGGGGTTGATTGATGCCCCCCTCATGTTGAAGAGTTACCGGAGTTCTCTCATGAATGTCCGACGTCCGGACCGCCTCTCTCAGCAAAAAATGGATCAACTTGTGCACATCCATAATGGGGTCATTCTTGATAAATCTATGTCAAAAGTTGCATATGTCAAATGTTGCATATGTCAAAATTCAAACTTTGACATATGATCAAACTTTGATATATGATCAAATGTTGCATATGTCCAAATTCAAACTTTGATATATGTCCACTGCGATATAAAATGATTCATAGACTTGTTCAGGCGAGAGGGGGTTGATTGACGTCCCCCCTCATGCCAAAGTTACTGGAGTTCTCTTCTAGTGGTTTGGGTGGCCTCGAGAGTTTGTCGGGTAGGGCGGGAGGGGGTAGGAGATCGACAACGCTTTTTTCTAGGGTTTGGGTGGCCTCGACAGTTGGTCGCCCGGTATATCGAGTGGGGGGGTGAACATTTTACCTTAGTAACTTAGAAAAAAATGTTATCGGGGAGGGGGTATATCGACCCCCCCCCCCTCATGTTGAAGTTATCGGGGAGGGGGTATATCGACAATGCCATACATACATGGAGAAAAACGATATCCATCTATACATACATAGCCACATACATATATTCATGGAAAAAATGCTATGAAAAAAAATACATATATTAACAAAAAAATGCTATGAACAAAAAATGAATACATATATGAACATCCATACATACATATAGCCACATTTGGTCCCGGTTCCGGCCACGAACCGGGACTAAAGGTTGTGGGCCAGGAGCGAGGCCCATTGGTCCCGGTTCGCGTCTGGAACCTGGACCAGAGGGGCCAGACGAACCGGGACCAATGCCCCACGAGGCCCGGCCGGCCCCCTGGCCCCACGAATCGGGACCTATGCCCTCAGGGGTCCCGGTTCGTGACTGAACCGGGATTAATGAACTTACCCGACCTGGACCAAAGCCCTGTTTTCTACCAGTGCACCACAAGGAACCTCACCATATGAGCTCGCTCAGTTCACCCTGACCTGGTGTCTTTGCACTCTGCATTGAACATTAGTATGTGAGTTAACTTGGTAGATCAAATAAACCCGGTAGCCAAATTATACTTGCAACAGTTTTCGCCCCACGGTGCACATTTTGATTGCGAGCCCTTTCTCGCGCCCCCTAGTCACACTCTTAAGTAAAGCTGGTTGTATGTCCGTTATGTTAAGTAATAATAAAAAGGGATAGGTCCATCGCCAAAAGTAAAGCTGGTTGTATGTCCGTTATGCCTGATTTTTAATAAAAAATCTCATTGCGTCACGCGCTTTAGTGCAGAACGACATCTAGACTGGCTGTAAAGCCTTTCTCGTGCCTGTTGGCGATGGTCTTGTTCTTCAACACATTTAGTGCTCCTTTGATTCAAAGGGATTTTATTAGAATATTGGGGTTTAGAATCCATATGAATTTTTTTCTATGTTTATGTTAGTTATCTTTTTAGAATCCACCACGACCTTCCTACCTAGCTCCACCGTTTATCACCAACCAACCACTCAGACTCAGTTGCCGACCGCGTGCACCCACACACGCTTGTTTGCTTCTCCGGAATCGCAGCTGTTTGTCCCCAGAAATTAAGAGATCCAACAAGCTGCCCGCAAGGAGATCTGCGGTATGGCCATGGAGGAGCTGCTGCAGAGGCTGCTGGACTCGGCACACAACGCCGAGGACTTGCTGGACGAGCTGGACTACTTCCGCATCCACGACCAGCTATATCATACATACGATGCTGCTGACCAGCACGGCAAGGGTTGTGTCTGCAACCTCGCCCTCAATGCTCGCCATACCGCCAAAGCTCTTGCCAAACAGCTGTCATCCTTGTCTGCGTACTGCTTTGGTGCCAACACTGGTGGTGATCACCGGCAGGGAGTTGCAAGACAACATGTCATTTGTTGTGCTTGGCCGTGTGGCAGGCAGAGACTACCTGTCGATTCCTCCTCGCCGCCAAATGCCAATCAGGCTGGTCAGGAGCTCAGTGGATGCATGCCAAAGCTCGGTAAAATCCTCCCTTGCGCATCTTCCCCGCATCCACATGTTCATGGTGATGAAGTTGGTGCCAGTGTGCAAGAAACACCAATGCATGAGTTTAATAGGGTCGATTTCTCCCAAAGGATGAAGGACACTGTAGAGCAACTAAAGCTTATGCGCAACGAGGTTACCAAGATTCTGCAAGGTTGTGACCCTAGAACCATCCCAGACATTGCCCAGAGCCGTCCCATCACCAAAGGTCGAATTGATGAGCCAAAACTGTACGGGAGGGAGACTGTCATGAATAGCATCATACATGATATCACCAAGGGTCAATACTGTACCAAGGGTCTAACTGTGCTTCCGGTTGTTGGTCCTGGGGAAATGGGAAAGACAACTCTGATACAACACATATATCGCAACCAACAGGTGCAGAATCATTTTCCAGTCAGGATTTGGATGTGTGTGTCATTCAATTTCAATCTGGATAAGGCGCTAGAACAGATTGAAGTAGGTACTCGTCCAGTTGAAAGTGAAAAGGAGGGCAGTACAACTGAAAAGTTGATTGAAGAAAGATTGAAATCTAAAAGGTTCTTACTTGTATTGGATGATATATGGCAGATTAGTGATGTGGGTGACTGGGAAAAACTCCTGTCGATACTCAACCAATCACAAGAAAAGGGTTCCATGGTTCTAGTCACAACTCGGTTTCGAGCAATAGCACAGGTGGTTAAAACAACTGGCCATTCAATAGAACTGGATGGTTTAAATTCTGGAGAGTTTAGAAAGTTGTTTCTCACATTTGTCTTTGGCGATGAGCAATGTCCAAGGGACAAACATTTTCTGCTTGAGACCGGAGATAAGATAATGGAAAAACTAAAGGGCTCCCCTCTTGCAGCAAGGACTGTTGGCAGATTACTGAGTAAAGAACATAGTTTGGGGCATTGGAAAAGGGTCCTAAACAGTAAAGAATGGGAAAAGCAAACCAATGGAATTATGTCTGCCTTGAAGCTTAGCTATGACTTTCTCCCTTTCCATCTGCAACAATGTTTTTCCTATTCTGCATTGGTTCCTGAAGATGTATATCTCAGAAGCTATGATCTCATCAGCCTGTGGATCGGACTAGATATTTTGATACCTAGTGATCAAAATCAAACATCTGAAGATATAGGTTTGAGCAATTTAAATGAGTTAGTCAATTATGGATTTTTCAGGGAAGATATAGGTCAGCGGTATGTTATGCATGACCTACTACACGATTTGGCATTGAAGGTTGCATCGCATGATTGTCTTTGTTTACATCTCCCTAATGTTGGATCAGTGGTAATTCAGCCAACCACCCGTCACTTGTCTATAAGCACACATGACTTAGGCAAATATGATGCAGTGTCAGGTGAAAAATTAAGAAGTGAATTGGAAGAACTGAAGACAAAATTGAAGGTTGAACATTTGCACACATTGGTGTTATTGGGTAAAATGGATGGAAGTTTTGCCAAGATATTTGGTGATTTTTTTTTTGGAAGCAAATGCTCTTCGTGTTCTTTATTTGTTTGACATGATGTATCCCATGGAGTTCATGTTACATAACTTTTCAAGACTTGTCCACCTACGATTCCTATGTCTAGGGACATGTGACAGAGAGATGCATTTACCACTCAACATCTCTAAATTTTATCATTTGAGAGTTCTAGATCTTGAGCCATGGGGTGGGAGTTGTGTTTTGCCCAGAGACATGAGCAATCTTGCAAAACTGTGCCATATTCATACCCCAAGTGATGGTGAGCTTCATTCTGATATTTATAATGTGGGAAAACTTAAACTCTTACAAGAGTTGAAGGTATTTCGAGTCAATAAAAAAAGTGAAGGATTTGAAGCAAAGCAACTAGAGCATTTAAGCAAGCTCAAGGAGCTTGGCATCTACAACCTTGAGAAAATACACACAGAAGAAGAAGCAGCTCAAGCAAAACTTATAGAGAAAAACTACCTGAGGAGGTTAACATTGGACTGGGATAGTGAACGATCTAGTGTTGAGCCTGGTGTGGAAGCAGCGGTTCTTGAGAGCCTTCAGCCACATGGAGATCTTCAGGTGTTGTGCATTAGAGGGCACGGAGGTCCTTCTTGTCCAACATGGTTAGGTGATGAGTTCGCTGTTGAAGTTCTGCAATCTCTTTATCTGGATGGTGTTTCTTGGGAAGTTTTCCCTTCTTTAGGGAAGGCGTGGGATCTTCATGAAATAAGGTTGGAGAATATTGCCAGACCGAAGGAGTTTATTATAGAGGAATGCTTTTGCAGGCTAATAAAGCTTAAACTCATTGGCCTAGGAAGTTTTGAAAAATGGCTTTACCCAGCTGAACAAGAGTCTTCCCTGGGTGAACTAGATGCTCATATGTTCCCTCTTTTGCAAGTTCTGGTTATTAGAGAGTGCCCGAAAATCTTGGGGTTGCCTTTCTCAAACCACATTGTTTCCCCAGATTGGTTCCCCAAGCTACAGGAGCTGGAGGTACATGACTGTCCCGAATTCTTACTAGTGATTCCCATCTCCTGGATCGAAAGTAAGCGTTCTGTCACTGTGAAATGTGTAAAGATGCTAAAGGAGTTTGCATACTCAAAATCATCCAATGGAGCACAATTGAAGATTATTGGAGAGGCTGATTTGCATCGCATAGACCAAGTATTCGTTTTTGATAAAGAAACAGGTCTAGAGACGCTGACACTGGACAAGTGCCCACCTCTGGAGTTGAAGCACCTTCTGATGCTAACCTCGCTGAAGACACTGATTGTAAGGCATTCAGTTGCTCTGGTTGGACCACTAGGAGGTCAGAGTGATGTGGAATGGCAGCTCCCTATTGAGTATATCGGGATCAATGAATGAAATGGTAATAGTGGGAAGGAATTGACAGAGCTCCTCCCCCACCTCCCAAAGCTCTCCAAGTTGGAAATATGGAAGTGTGAAAACATAAAAAAGTTGGTAGTGGGCGTGGATGTGCAACAAACAACACAAGAAGCATCAGAGATGGGGGGAGGTGAAATAACAGCAGCAGCAGCAGAGGAAGAGGATGATGGGGTGCTGCTCTTCCCACCTCATCTCTTTGACTCACTACAGGAGTTGGTCATCTTTGAGTGCCCAGAGCTGGTCCTGGTCGACCCACCAACTCTTGTTCCTGGAGGAGGAGGGCTCCAAGCTTTGCGATCCCTCCACAGATTAACAATAGAGCGGTCCCCAAAGTTTCTATCCACCTTCTCCTTTTCCTGTCACATTTTCCCTTCCTCCCTGCAGTCTCTGGTGCTTTGTGATGTGAAAGGCTTGAGGACACTAGAGCCCCTCTCAAACCTCTCCTCTCTCACCACATTAGTATTGTTTGGTTGTGGAGAGGATCTGAAATGTCAGGGCTTGTGGTCACTCATTAGCATCGGTGGCCATCTCCAAGAATTAAAAGTCTCAGGCAGCCCTGGTTTCTTTGCTGATTGGGATCCCAATCCCAGACGGGCTTTGGAGAACGTTGAAGGAGGTGAAGAGCAGCAGACACAGCTTGTTTCGTCCACACTGCGTGAGCTCAGGACAGAGGACATAGCAGGACTTCTTGCTGCACCCGTCTGGAGATTCCTCTCTTCCTCCCTGACCAAGCTGCAACTTCATGGGGATTGGTGTGAAGGGATGGATCGGTTCATCAAGGAGCAAGAGGACGCCCTTCAACTCCTCTCCTCCCTCCAGGAACTAGAGTTTTGGAGTTTCAAGGACCTTCAACATCTCCCTGCAGGGCTGTGTAACCTTACCAGCCTCAAGATATTATCAGTTAACTTCTGTCCAGCCATCTCGTCATTGCCCAATGATGCCCTCCCGGATTCACTGGAAAAGCTAGATGTCTATAAATGCAGTGAGGTGCTAAAACAGTACTGCAGGGGGTTAGAGGGAACCATCCCAGAAATCAAAATATGGTGATGCAAGGTTACACAAACATACTTTCTTGTGTTTTTCCATTATGCCCTTTTCCTGCAATCGTGCTTAATAACACTGTGTTTGTTCCCATCCACCGTGCAGGACAATGCCTTGGAGTTCACTTGTACATTCTTCTAGCCTTGTAGAGCTCTTCCCTTCCCATACAAACACATGCATGACATAAGGGCTGTGGTCTTCCTTCCTGTACTTAAATCTGGTAGGTACATCTAAATCTGGGTTCCCTCTTGGTTCTAATTTCAGGCGGAGCCATTACATGCAAATTAGCTGCAGGAACCTTCATTAGGGGTGTCCACACCAATATCAGTTATATACACTTCAACTACTTTTACTCCTGCCATATCAGATTTCCATTTTCTTATCAACGGTAGTGAAACTATTCAAGATTTGTTTCTCAAAGCCCCTTTTCTTTCCACAATTCGATAAAATCGACATCATTATCAGCCAATGCCTTCTGCAGGTCCATCTTCTTTTCTTCCAACAAAACCTGTGATCACCATTTGTTTTTGTTATGTGTGCAGGTGTTTGTTTGATCTTACAGGCTTCTTCATATTTTGCATTTAAATTTGGGTTATTGTTATTCATCAAGACATGGCAGTCTACTCCCCTGTTTTGGGTGTCACGATCAAAATAGCAGTAGGACAGCAGTATGGAATAAATGAGACTTTGGGTCAAGCTACCAGGTGTTATGTTGCTGTCAGTACTGCAACATATTAAGGTGATTTTTTTTCTTTTCATATACTGCTATGTTGCTGTCAGTACCAGGTGTTCTTGCATTTCTAATTTCTGTTGGTTTGCTCTTCAGGTGTTCTTATGTTTGTTTGGTGGGCTTTCAAGCCACTTGTGTTTGCATTTTGTCCAAAACTCATGAAGACTGAAGGTGTGGCTGGAAAATCTTCAGTTTTAGGGATCAAAGGATCATCTGGCATAATTATGGAAAACAATGAATTGCCAGTGTTTTGCTGCTGATCATGTTTGCAGTTTTGCCATCCAGGTATACTTGCAGCTGATAGGTTTGCAGTTTTTCAATTCAGTCTACATTCTACTAATACCAGGTATTTTTGCATCTGTCATAACTGTTGTTGTTTAACGGAAATTTAATGGCGCGTAGGATCTTCAGAAGAATAGGCGGCATATAATATCAGTTCACATGTGGAGCCAATTCAGATCATAGGCGGTAGAAGCAGTCTGAAGGTAATCCATTGCAGGTCATGTACAATTTTGAAATGCTAAAATTCCATCAAGGCACTAAGGTGCATGACCACAACCTATTTATAATTAACACTAGTTTATTATGTTGTTCCATCTCGATATAACATTAATATGTAAATTACTTTTATTAACAGTAAATCAGGATGTTGATTAAATCTGGGAATTTACTTGGTGCCCCAACTGTTTACATGCGGAACTTGCCTAACCAGTGACGGAACTGTAAATGCCTTGCCCTCACATATTTCAGTCAGACATCATGTACTGTTGGTAGCTAATCTCAGTTATGATGTTTGCTCCGTTTTGTAGATCAATCTCCTCGAAAGTAAAAGATTGAGTTGGGGGAAAGGTGTGGTTGACTGAGGCAGTCTTCTTCAACTGCAATAGCCACACGCGAATTTTGCAGGTATGACTGCAATGGAGAAGGACCCAGAAATTAATGGGTGTGCCTACAACACTGCAGAACGCTCATTTATGCGAGGTAAATAGGCCCCAGTGAAGTGCAACTCTGCGAGGTAGCTACATGTTCTTATCAGGTTAATTGACTTGAAAACATTTCAGAGTCGGCTCCCCAAGGAGGGTGACGAATTAACTTGCAACCAGTCCGCGGAAGATCTGAAGCCATGCTAGAAGAAACGTAGCCTGCAGCTAGGTGGTACATCTGAGGCCTGTCAGCCTTGTGATGTCACTCAGAACTTGCTGCGATGAGTACATCTCACATTCATATAGTGTGTTAATGATGGTTAGTACTTCGGTCATTCAGTATTTGTGTGGCACAAAATATTCTGAAACTTGGCTGGCAGAACCATGCCAATTACTTACACTTCTTCCTCCTCGTCAGGAATCAGACTGCATCATCTTCTGAAGAAATCGACATTTGTCATGTTGTTAACTGAAGAAATCGACACCCAGCGGTTAGCACCAAACCGACCGGGCTCATCGTCGACCATCCTGTCTTCATCGAACGGCAGCTTACCGCTTCGACCGGAGTTACTACGACACACCGCCACCCTTCATCGCCCATCCAATCGCTCTGAAGACTGGACGTGTCACTATCTGAATTTACCTTTTACGGTCTCCTTGTTCACCTGCTTTACTTTGGCGTTAAGTTAAGATTACCTTTCACTAGTTGTAATGTGTATGAAACCCCGGATCTATCTCAGAGCCCTGGATCTCATCTTCCTACTCCCTCCATTCCACAATGTAGTGCTTCCTCTATTCACGTGCTTCAACTTTGACCGTAAATTTAACTATCAAAACCGATTGCGGCGGGGGCAAAAGTTATATCAGTGACTTCGTATTCGAAAGAGGTTTTTAATTATGTAACTTTTTCTCCCGCCGCAGTCGGTCTCGTTCGCTAAATTTATGGTCAAAGTTCAACCTCGGGAAGCGTGGGCGCACTATATTTTGGAATGGAGGGAGTATTACTTGGGGTAAACCCTAGCCACCGTGTCCTGGCTGGTTTAATCACACATTATAATTTGCTGCGTATATTTTCTCTTGCGATCTTCCTCTGAATCCACATAATTGGTGCAATGTTTGAGTGATTTAGTTTGTGAACTACAGTAGTTGGGTCTTGTCAGTCCTTTGCTGCTGCTTGGCGTGGCAGATGTAACATGGAAAGGAGGGTACCTGCCTGCCTGTTGGTGAACTACCTACCTGCTCATCTCATCAGGCTTGCTTGTCTGAAGTCCTGGCCTTAAGTTTTATTCCAGAAATCTTATTCCATGTGTGCCTGCTTAGTGGAGCATGCACCATTGGTCATCACCGAAGGTAATGGAGTCCCAAGATGTGAGCATCACCAAATGTACTGCAGTTTGCACATTGAGCAGCTCAACATGCTCTTCAGATGAGCAGCTTCTTCTTGTCCATCAACTGCATGATCTTAATTGTGCTCCAGACTTGGTAGCAGCAGTATGTGTTGATCGCTTTTGGGAAGACGATCCAGTTTTGGGAAGACGATCGCTTTTGGGAAGACGATCCAGTTTTCAAGGCCTTGTGTGAATGGCTGCAGAAGCAGAACCATCACCCAATCCAGTTTTTCCGACAGGCCTTCATGCAGTTGTTAAATTTGTGATGCTGTACATGGTGAAGTGTCTCTTTTTCAAGTGTAAATTCATCCATAAAAAGGAGAAGATGATTGGTGTTCACCACGTCTTAGACGTTCTCTATGTATACTATCATAGTATCATCATCATTGTCATAATCTTATAAAACATTCTATCACATCCATGTTTTACATCTCGGGTTAGAGCGGCGCACATTTCCTTCTAGTTATACTGTACTGTCACTCTGTTTGTCAGATCTAACTTGCTAGGATAAGAGGGTCAGGAGTTATGTCACTAAATCCTTTGTCAATTGCTCAACATGAGCAACGCGTGTTGCGAACGTGTAGTACTGCTCACTGTCGAAAGAAAGAAAGAAAGAACATGTGTAGTGATGCTTACAAAATTCAGGGGGAGATTCATTTCATTTTACAAGGTTTAATAAATACTGCTTGTGTATAATTGTCCTGCTTGATCATCAAGTCCGGTTCAGACAGTCCATCGCGAGCAGTCAAGTTCAGTGTTGATGCTGCGGACTCTCAAAGCGGCGAGACACCATGAGTGCCAAGGGACCGACAGAAGAAGCTCTCTGTCACTGTGCAGATGTGTCCTGCATCTGAATTTGGTGGTTCAGGTCAGGTATCTGTCTCTGAAGAGCGACTCGGCCACTGTACATTTGCCAAGGGACAGACAGAAGAAGCTCTGTCTCTGAACACGACGTTATCTTTGATGAGAGCGATTCGACGAATGTACCTACGTGACCAACAAGATTTGCGTAGGGAGGCAGTTTATTCAAGTGAAGAAGACATGGAGAACATAGCAAAATCCCAACTTCAGGGGACGCGCTTCTGCACCCCGAGATTCTATGCTCCCTGAATGAATAGTAAATTTGAAAATAAATAGTAAAAAAAAATCTGAATTTGACACTAAAGATGGTAAAATTTTCTAGCAGCCTGCAAATTTTCACGTCGACATGACTTCAAGACAGCTCCTTCCAAATTTTTTTTTAAAAATGAATCTTAGAAAATCAAATTTAGTCTTTTTTGGACGAGAGCTCTTCCCCATGACACCACGGATTTTTGCAAGCTCCTAAGAAATGTCATCATCTTTAGTGCCAAAAAAATTCAGATTTTTTTTTTGAATTTTTTCCTAGTTTTTCGAATTTACTGTTTACTTGGGAGCAGATGAGCTCAGGCTCAGCTTTGAGTTTGGCAACTCAGGATGCTACCTGCCAGAACCCCCACTACCATTTCTTGATATAGCAGCGTCCAGTCTGTGTGCAAGTTGACAGCAATGAACATGTCATCTTAATTGAATGAACGCTACTTTCCCCTTCACTTCTCCTTTTTGTTACTATACACATCTCTTTCCTTGCAGCGGCGTTACAAATTCAAACCCACATCTCTTCCATGCCCGTACCAAAAAAATAAGTGCACCCCAACCACACCCTTGGATTTTCCTTTCATTCTTACTCTACGTTGTTTGCGAAATCCGATTCTTTTGGGGTCGGCTCCCCTTTCACCGTTTTTCAGAAGCTTCTGGCCGGGTTTCTTTTCTATGTTCTTTCTGGTTTACCAGTTTTCTTTTCTCATTGTCTCTATGTTCCAGTTTTTTTTTTATTTTCTCCATCTTTATTTTCTTTTTTAAAACTCATGAGCATTTTAAAGTTTGTGAACATTTTTACTTGTTTAGTAATATTTAAAATTCATGTTCATTTTTGAAAACCGCAAC